CTTCAATATCCTCCTACCTCAGCCTCCCAGCTGAGACTATATGCACATGCCACCAACTCCAGCTCTTTTTCAGAGAAGGTCTTGCTATGTTGCCCAGAACAGATTCAAGACAGTGACTCTTCTGCCTTGGGGGATGAGGGGCGAGGGGTGATTTCTTACTTTCCGTCTATCTCTGTCTCTCTAGTGAGCACACACACCCTAAAACAAAACAAATTTTAAAATTAAAAAAAAAACCTACATGAAACACAATAGTATAAGATTTCACCAACCAAGGGGACCAGCAGATGCCATAATGATTAGGTCACTGGACTCCCATGTAGGCAACCGAGGTTCAAGTCCCAGACCAGTGGCTTAAACTCACACCAGGCATGTATCCATGCATGCCTAAGATCCCAAGAGGAGAATGGAAGAGAAAGGACTGTTGTATGGCCATCCCCCTTGGGGGGTGATTTCTCACTTTCTATCTCTCTATCTCTCTCTCTCTTACCAGCGAGCATACCCACCCTACAGCAAAAACCTCTCCCCCTCAAAAAAAGAAAAAAACTCACCAATCAACCAGCTAATTAAGTCTAACTTTGAGAATTTTATACTAAAGTGTATTTATTGCATGGCACAATGAGTACCACAACCTACTAAAAAAATATTCATTATATGGCAAAATGAGTACCACGAACTACTAAGATCAAAATACTGAGATGGATGTGGAGTTCGGAAGGCTGGCATAGGAAGCAGGAGCCATCTTAACAGAGGAAAGTTGTAAAATTTAAAAAAAAAAATTTAAAGAAAGAAAAAGAAAGCATAATAAGGTAAAAATCCTACCTCAAGAATCTCATCTTCTAGTCCAAAAACTAATCAAAATGGAAATTAAATGAGAGCTGGTGGTGTGGTGGTTAAGGTATGGTGGTTAAGGCTGCTGCTAGACCCCACCCACATGGTCAACTGCTCAGTTCAAGTCACGACCTAGCAGATTTAAAAATATGAGGTGGCAAGTATGTGTATGTGCCCACAATCCTGAGAGGAGAATGGAGAAGAAATCACTATGGTATGGCCATCCCCCAGAGGGGATGCTTTTTCACTTTCCTCTCCTTCCCTCCTATCTCTCTCTGTCTCTCTCCAGTAAGCGCACAATCCCTCTTGCAAATTTTTTTTAAAATGGGGGCCAGCAGGTGGCGTGGTAGTTAAGGTGCTGGATTCCCACATGGTTGAGAGTAATTCAAGTCCCGGACCAGGTAGGCTGAAAATCACACCGGGCACATGTGCATGTGTGCCCAAAACCCCAACAGGAGAATAGAGAAGGAATTGTGACACGACTGTCCCCCTTGGGATGTGATTTATCACTTTCTCTCTCACTGTCTCTCTCTCTGGCAAGCACACACACTCTATGGCAAAAGCCACATAAAAGAACATCAACAAATAAGAATAAAATGACATCAGTGACATAAATCCAGGATTATTTCTTGACTAAGAAGCCCAACCAATAGAACCGATAAAGTTCGGAGACTAGGGGAAAAAAAAAAAAAACAGAAACAAAAAGCCACAAGGAGACAAAAAGGAAAGGAAAGCCTTCAAACAAAATAGATTTGATCTGAACCTCAAATACAACCAGCAATACCTAACTTTTTCATCACCACAAACCCTTGTACTAGTCTTCCTCCTTCTCACTCCCTCAAACAAATAACATATTTTAAAAGATTCTATCTATCAAGCTATTAATTGAATGATAAAAGCATAGTCCCATTGTAGGTAAAGACACATAAACAGGGTCAGTATCAGATAAAATACTAGCAAACTGACATGTAATTTGAAAAACAAAGGTACCTGACATCTTTTTTTTTTTTTTTTGAGAGGTTTTTCTTTTGCTATAGGGCGCGTGCGCTCACCAGACAGACAGAGAGAGACATAGAGACAGAAAGCGAGAAATCACCCCCCAGGGGGGATGGTCACGCCTCAATCCCTTCTCCTCCATTCTCCTCTCGGGATCTTGGGCATGCACGCACACGCGCCCGGCGTGAGTTCTAAGTCACCGGGTCCAGGACGCGAACCGCAGTCGACTACGTGGGAGTCCAGCGACATAGCCATTACGCTAACTGCTGGTTCCCAGCACTTGACATCTTAACCAGGCACCTAATTGTATTCTCAATAAATAATACTTCTAGCAATAAAAATAAACACTCCCAATTTCTGTAAGCCCTTGGAGATATGAGAGCCTCAGCATGGAGCCCGGGGTTTCAAAATCCAACTAGATATAGCAGCAATCCAGTAAATGGAACACCACCTAACATAAGCATAACACACAGAACGAGCATGAATGTACTTTACAACCATATTATCAGTTCAAGGAATGAGGGATTCAGAGGCAATAAATGTGAAAACACTGCCTTTCAGTATTTAATTCTAACAAGCACAAATTACTCTGACTAAAAATACACAACTAGCTTTTCTAAGATATCTATCATCTCCCACAAAATAAGAAAGTGATGATAGTCACAAAACCTTACAATCTGCTAAAAATAATTCTGCTTGATCACTTATTTAAATGATTTTATAAATCTGTCATAAAAATGGACTAGTTACTTCACAAGAGTAAAATGCCAAACTATTTCATTATTTAAAATCAGACTAAAAAAAACACATTAAAAGACAGAGATGGGGTAGTAGAATATCGTTCAATGCCTATAAATTTTCAAACGCTCTCATTAACAAAAGAAAGCTGTTTTTAAATGAACTACAAGACTCTTAAGTCAATGATTTCAAATATTTTACTTCTCATTTGCTCACTATTTGTTCAGCAAGTGCCTTTTTTTTTTTTTTTTTTCTATGGGGCGCATGCGCTCACTAGAGACAGAGACAGAGAGACAGAAAGTGAGAAATCACCCCCTTGGGGCAATGGCTGTGCTGCAATCCCTTCTTCTCCATTCTCTTCTTAGAATGTTGGGCACGTATGCACATGCACCTGGCATGAGTTTTAAGCAGCCAGGTCCGGGACTTGAACCACAGGCGACTACGTGGGAATTCAGCAATATAACTATTATATCATCTGCTGGTCTCAAGTAAGTGCCTTTTAAGTATCTACATTACAAATCCATGCAAATTATCTTTGCCCTTGATGTCTAATGAAAGAAAAATTACACCATAGAGTGAATTTCTGGAACGTCATGATTCCTGGAAGAATGATCCATCTAGCACTGTGGTAATCCCCTTGAAATGGCAGGTGTGGTGTTCCCAACAAACCAACATGAGAGTTTCTAACCCTTGGCTCATTGAGACACTTAAGCTCTTGAACAACTTAAAATCTCACTGCCAAGTCTGGTACCAATGTGAGAAGTAATTCTATAGTCACTTTAAATAAATCATTCAGATAGCAGCTTAAGAACAATGTGTTATCTAAACCGGTAACATTATACACATAAATGCAGACTTAGAACAATTACCATCATCTTGATTAATCTTATGAGTGAAATGTTTAATCATTCATTTTACTTGTAATCATTATCTTTTATCTCTGACCAAACATGCAGTTTTAATGTCCCCCTCTATTATTTATATTGGACATTTCAGGGTTACATTCTAAGGTTACATTACACATTCTATTGAAATTTTAAATAAGTCCTTAAATTTTAAAAATCTAATAACTATTATATCCATATTTGCTCTATCAGCATACAGAAACACCAGAAGGATTCATACAAAAATTAATATAAGCAGTTATTTATAGGGTAAGACAAGGTCAACAAGAGAAGAGTGTGGTGAGCCTTCTCGATGTATACCTTCCTACACTATTTGAATTTTTTTTTTTTTGGAGAGATTTTCGCTACAGGGCACGTGCGCTCGCCAGACAGACAGAGAGAGACATAGAGACAGAAAGCAAGAAATCACCTCCCGGGGGGATGGTCACGCCTCAATCCCTTCTCCTCCATTCTCCTCTCGGGATCTTGGGCAGGCACGCACACGCGCCCGGTTTGAGTTTTAAGCCACTGGGTCCGGGACGCGAACCACAGTCGACTACGTGGGAGTCCAGCGACATAGCCATTACGCTAACTGCTGGTTCCCACCATTTGAATTTTTGAGCCACTTGAGTACAGTACATATTCAAAGAAAACTTGATCTACATAGAAGCTGTCTGAAAGTTTTAGCATCTACCATACAAATAAATTAGTTGCCAGAATTCTGCATTTTCAGCTTACAACTGATGTCATTTTTAACACTACATATGAGTATACTTGCCAATATGTACTCTGAACTCACAAATTCTGATTTTATAAAATAGGCTTTGGTTTTCTGGATCGTTTTCCAATCCTAAAGATTCAGATTTTTGAATACAGGATGTGCCTCCCTTCCCAATAATCCAATTAAGTTTCTCAACTCATATTTTGGCCTTGATGCCTCAATCCATACTAAATCCTGGATAACATTAAATATGCTGAACCAAGTGAGTTTTAATCCTGTCGTACTACCACTTTCCTAGTACTTCCCATTTAAGAGAGACACTAGGAATGCAGCATATAAAACGAGAATAAAAGCAAAGGAGAAAAGGAAAAGACTGGCTTCCTTTCTCTGCATTCTGAACAAATTAAAAGACCCAGTGCCCCCCAATGGTATGAATTTGCCCAATCCAAGATAGTAACTTCCTGTTCTAATGGACCCTAGCAGCCTTTACACATTACACATAGCTTTTCAGCGAAACGTGACTTGTTAGTTTTTTAAATATCTTAAAACTGCAGTTATCCACAGTGAATTATCTTGTCTAGTCTGCTTCTGCTCTCAAACATTCCAGCTGCCTATTGCCCATCCTGGTATTTAGCAGTTATGTCCTCCCATCCAAGTATATGTAATAGTAAAGAAAGTGTGGTGATTTTTATTGAGAAATACAAAATTTTAAGATTTTTAAGAATAATCTACTACAAAAGTAACAGATCCTGACACCAATTATAAATATTTGGAAATTCTACACCACTGGTCTAGTTGAATTAAATTAATAAAAGACATGACACTGAAAATACCTTCACAAATGAAACTTGAGAATGTTCTTTAGCTAATTCTGCCATTACATCGTTCATCTGTGCACACTGTGGAGCCCATGGTGCCCAGAAATGGATCACAAGGAGGGACCTGTAAATCAATAAAATGATTTTTTAAATTAACTTTGGAAATAAGCAAATACTGATAAATTCTCTCTCTCTCTCTCTCTTTCTCTCTCTCTCTCTCTTTCTCTCTCTCTCTCTCTCTCTCTCACACACACACACACACACACACACGCAAAACCTTTAAAAGAACTGCCTGAATTGTTTTGTGCTATTACAATTCTCACGTACTAAACATGAAAAGAAAAATAAAAACACTCCACAAGGTCTTGAGATTCTTTTGGATAATTTTCAAGTTCATGATATTTCTTCAGTCAAGATTTAGCCCATATGAAGCAATTCTGAATAGTTCTCCATCTCAACTAATAGTCGTGTAAATCAAGTATATTTTCAGACCCTTGAGGAAAGGGGGAACTAAATTTTGTATTAAAGGCACAATGTTTGTGAAAAATGGCTGTAGATGTATTATTACTATTACTATCAGGATTTACTTTTAAACATAGTATTGTGATAAAGGGCTGTAATAGTGACCACAGGAACAATAAAATGTTGAAAGTGAAGGCACATCAGCAGAAAACAAGGAGTAATGAAACAGGTTTTTACAAATACATCCTTTTATGCTTTTTACATTATGCTACAAAAGAAGTTTTAAATAGTTGTAGTATAAACAGATAGAATAGTGGATTAATAAAATGTTGATTAAATTCTTAGGAAACAAGTGTACTTATATTAATTGTTTCCATATAAAATTATCCCAGCAAAGATATTTTTAACCTATCTTCATTCCAACTGAAATATTCTAAATTCAAATATAATTCCCCCAAACAAAAAGCCTGAAAAGTAAGGGGGAAGAAAATGTCACATGGTAAAAAGAACCAAGAACAACTAATCTGTCATTAAAGAAAGGAATAACAAAATGTATAAAAACAGTAAGATAACACAGGTGAACAAAGAAAGGCTGCAATGGAATGTCAGGACAGCAGAAGCAAAGGGAAGATTTCAGAAGAAGGGGCAGGATTTGGTGACAGATAAGCAATAAGTTTAAGGCTGACTCCAAGCTGTGGCTTAAGAGACAGCTAGCTAGCTAGTGTTGGCACTAGTCTCAAATCAGAGCACAGAAACCATCAACTTGAGAGGAAAGGAAGTCTAAGAGGGTGTTAGTATGATGTCTTAAGCTCAGAAAACAAATCTGTGCTTCATCTATAGATTTGGGAATCAACTGACAATGCAAACAAACACAGAAGAGACTCCAAGTCAGTATGTCAGGGACTCGTCTACATTAAGTTAGGTCAGATAGAAAAAGAAACTCATGTGTAGTGAAGCAGAGAAGGGAGCCTAATAAGTATGGGAAAGTTAAAGGGTCTCAGAAGTCAAGAGAAGAATGTCATCAAGAAGGATGGAACGACAATCATCAAATGCAGAAGTAAAGGGTAACTAACACTATTGAGAGCAGTTCCAATGAAGCAGTAGAGCACAAGTAAGACTGCAATACACTGAGGATTTAAATGAAGATGAAGTAGAGATTTTTTAATTGAGATTTTTGCTATAGGGCTCATGCACTTGCCAGAGAGCCAGAGCCAGAGACAGAGAGAGAGAAATCACCCCCAAGAGAGGGAAGGCCATGCCTTCTCCTCCATTCTCCTCTCAGGATTTTGGGCATGCATGAGCACTCATACACAGGTTCCCAGCATGAGTTTCAATCTGCCAGGCCCGGGACTGGAACCGTGGTCAATTACATGGGAATCCAGCAATGTCACTACCACGCCACTTGCTAAAGATCTGTAATAAGCACAGCAAAAGACATGACCAAGAGATGGGCTTTTTTTTTTTAAGATTCTTAAAATGTTTATTTCTGTCAGGAAAGCTGACGATTTTCTATAAACATTTTGGTTTATTATAATAAGCACTTTCCCCATGAAAAAATACACTCAAAATATCTCTATCCTTGAGGTAAAGAATTAAAAAAAAAAAAAAATCCTGACTTTTTTAAAGAAAAAAATTCTTAAAATTCCTTTAGCTTGATAAAAAAAGACGATCTTATTCCACTCTGGTGAACATAAATGTATTTTATACAGCAAAGTATCCAGTCACTTATTGGCAAATGGGAAGTGAGAAGTAGTCATGTACAAGTTCTACTCACAGTGCAACACACTGCCACATTCAAACATATTCTTTGCTGGTTTTTTTTTTTTTTTTAATAGTTACCAACACTTCCGGCAAAGACAATGGCAAAAGCAGCAGAAGTTTCAGATCTCAAGGTTCCAGAAGGGAATTAATCTGAGTCTTCATCATCGAGATAGCCCTCAGCATTACTTAATGTTTGAACTGCATCTGTTCCCTGTTTCTTTTTCAGGAAAAATGCACAGGCAGCATTCGTAATCATGTCAAAGGTCAGCTTCTTCTCATTTCTTAAGTCTATTCTAGCAAATTTCACCAAAAGCAAATGTACAATTATCTGCATAGCCCTTCCAGTCCTGCTGGTTCAGTTCAATGTTTGGCTGTGTAAAAACCATTTCCTCTATATCTCATGACCCCCATGCTTCCAGCTTTGTCCAGGCCATTAACACCCACTTGGTTGACCACACACTCTCAATCAGCTCAAGTGGCCTCTTTTTGCAGCTTTATGCAATGGATTGTCAATGGATTCTGCCTGCTCAACCACATAGTTGCTTGGAAGCAGTCCAATTTTGTCTTTGGAGGTGCCTTTCCACCAATTGGTACCACTCATGATATCACCTTCCTCAAAGTACAATTCATCTAGAGTTCTAGGTTCAAAAGTATTCAGAGCTCTGAAGAGTTACTTGACCTGGTTTGACTGGTTTGGGAGGAGGCTTTGACACCTCACTTCCTTGAGCTGTTAATCCTAGAGACTATGGGGGGGAGTCAACCAATCGCCCCTCCAGCAGAGTGCCCCAAAGCTTCTTTTTGTTCGGTTTGTTGTTGAGCACCTTCAAGAACCTACACCCACCCTTGGCTGCAGGAGGAGCTAACACAGGCAGAGAGGCTCTGTTGAGTGCCCAGCCCTTTTTCTTTTAACACAAGATGATTTGCATATTTATTTCGTTAGAAGACAGTACAAATGGAGAGGAAGAGACTGCAGATAGGTGAGACAGTTGAGGATGCAAGGGGAAAGAACTGGGAACTCTAGAGCCAAGTAATTAAGAATGGGGAAAGCTACAAATAAGCAAGTACCTATTGGATGAGGGACAGTAAGAGCACTCAGAGAGATGCTGTGTGAAATCCCGTTTTCTCTCAGGTAGGAAACAAGGTCATTTGCTTAAACAAAGGAAAGTGGAGGATAAGGATGTAGGTAGAACTAATGATGGGAGAGCTGTACAAAGGTACTCTGAAGAAAAGCAAGAGGCCCCAAAGGAAGACTCACCTAAGGCAGAAAAGGGGAACTTCACAGTCAATGGTTTGTAATTTGCATTCAGCAGAACTTAAACCAGCAGTTTCAATGGATAAGCAGATGGGCCTCAGGTCATAGCAGAAGACTGTGTTGTATCTCATTAAACACTGTTTTCTCTTCCTCCTGGGCATTCAGGTAGACTACATTTTTCAGTTCTTGCAGTTGTTCAAGATTGCTACATAGGCCTGACTCCTCAAAACTCTTCCTGTGATCCTCTCCCTACTCTAGTCTCGCCTCAAAGCCAAGGATTCAGAGGCTCCCAGGCCTATGGGTAGAAGGACAACAGGTCTACAAAGGCCATGTGCAAGAATGTGCACAGTGAGCTTATACATAATAAGCCTAAACTGGAAATAATCCATATGTCCATGAATGGGAGAAAAAGGTGTATAGGCATACAACAGAATACAACTTAGCAATTAAAAGAAACCAACTTTACACATATGTGGAAAAAAATCTTGAAAAAATACTAAGCAAAAGATGCCAGACTTGATAAAAAAGGCCAACTGTATGATTCTATTTACATAAAGTCCAAACACAAGAGAAAACTAGACAACAGAAAGCAGATCAGTGGATGAGAGAAAGGTGTAAAGAATAAAGAACTTCCATAGGGTTCCATATTCTTGTTTTGAATGGTGATTATTTTTCTATACAACTTCAAAATTCATCACAGCTGACCATTAAGATCTGTACATTTACTACTGTATGTAAGAAAATCCTCAATTTTTAAAAAGTTGGAATACCACCTTTTACCAAATTGACAAAGGATTTTTAAAATTATAATACTCAACGATAAAAACGATGGTAAGAAAAGCACTTTCATATCTGCTGGTAAAAATTAAACTAAACCAGGACCAGCAGGTGGCGTGGTGGTTAAGGTGCTGGACACTCCCACATGGCTGACCAGGGTTCAAGTCCTGAATCTGGTGGCTTGCTTTCTCACTTCCTCTCTCTCTCACTCTCACCCTCTGTCTCTCTCTGGTCAAATTAAGAAATAAATGAATGAATAAATAAAATAAAATAAATTATTAAACTAAATCCTTTCAGAAATTTCTTACACATATGCAAATATCTTAATTAAAGAGACAACCATTTATGTTTATGGATATGTTTCCATTATTTTGCATAACAAATAACTAAAAAGAATATTCAACAGTATATTGAGTGGGGAAGATTTCTGCTATAGGGCGCATCCAGAGAGACAAAGAGAGAAATCATACCACTACCACTACCACCAACACCACACCCGCATGGCCACATCACAATCCCTTCTCCTCTGGCACACAGGCACACTCGCCCGGGTGAATTTTAAGCTACCAGTTCCAGGACTTAAGATGCGATTGGCCAAGTGGGAGTCCAGTGACATAACTGCTACATCATCTGCTGGCCTCCAACGGTACAGTTTTGTAAAGGTAGTAACAAAATATTATAAAGCCATTAAAATCAAATTTTCAAAAGAAAGTTTAATGCCATGGGAAAATGCTCATGTTAGTACATTTTTTAAAAAATTAAAATAAGTATGAGCCTAAATATGTCAAAAAGAAAAGAAAAAGGAACACAATCTGAATTAAGTTTCAGTTCCATTACTACTAGCATGGCTCTGAAATGTAATCTAACTTCCCTTAACTTCTATATCTGTAAAATAACAATACCTAACAACCTAGGATGTTGGGAAGATCAAGCAAATAACTAAAAGTGCTTTGAAACATTTAAAGTATAACATAAGGGACCAGCAGATGACATAATGGTTACGTCCCTGGACTTACATGTAGTTAACCACGGTTTCAATACTGGACGTGGCGGCTTAAAACTCATGCGGGCACATGTGCATGCATGCCCAGTATCACGAGAGGACACTGGAGGAAAGAGACTGCAGTGTGGCCATCCCCCCAGGGGGTGATTTCTCACTTTCTGTCTCTGTCTCTCCCACAAGCGCTCATAGCAAAAACCTCTACAGCAAAAACCTCTCTAAAAAAAAAAAAAAAAGGAAAAAGGAAAGCATGACATAAATGCTAATAATTGAAAATAACTATAACATTCTCATATTCAAATCCTTAACTTCCATTTTTCAAATAAGCACATGATGCCCAATATTATAAGGACATATACTAGAAATCTTTATAGAAGATGTAATTTTCTTTTGGATTATACGTAAAGCATTCTTTTCTTCTTCATGGATAGACCAATATGCCTACTGCACTGATAAAAATATTTAGAGAATGACCAGGTTGAAATCCTGACTATGTAGTTTCTAGATAAGGTAGTGAAGCTCAGATTTTTTTTTTTTTTTGAGAGTTTTTGCTATAGGGTGCATGTGCTTGCCAGAAAGACAGAGACAGAGAGACAGAAAGCGAGAAATCACACCCCAGGGGGTTGGCCGCGTTGCAATCCCTTCTCCTCCTTTCTCCTCTCGGGATCTTGGGCATGCACGCACACACCCCTGGTGTAAGTTTCAGCCACCGGGTAAGGGACTCGAACCACGGTCGACTACATGGGAGTCCAGCAACATAGCCATTAAGCTAACTGCTGGTCCTGAAGCTTAGTTCTTATGAGTAAGGTAATCAGTGAACAATAGTTGTCCTTCTACTACTACAATAGTGTTCTGCTATTACAGTTACTCATCTCTGGATAACGTCAGCTTCCATTTATCATTCATATACTAGACTCTAAACTATTTGACAAAAAGGAAAAACTTAAGCAAAAGGGTACTGATATACCCACTGTATAAATCAACTCAAGTTTCAGTACACATAAATACCTGATAGATTACTTAAGAAAACAAAACATTTTCAATTCATATCAGATTTTAAGAGAAGAAAAGCAATGATTTTAAAAGCCTGTAAATGTGGGACCAGCAGTTAGCGTAATGGCTACGTCACTGAACTCCCACGTAGTCGACCGAGGTTCGCATCCTGGACCCGGTGGCTTAAAACTCACTCCGGGCGCATGTGCGTGCGTGCCCAAGATCCCAAGAGGAGAATGGAGGAGAAGGGATTGCGGCATGACCATCCCCCCTGGGGGGTGATTTCTCGCTTTCTGTTTCTCTGTCTGTCTCTGTCTGGCGAGCACATGCGCCCTTTAGCAAAAAAAATAAAAATAAAAAAAAAGCCTATAAATATGACCTCTATTATTCTTTTTTTTTTTGAGAGAGATTTTCACCGTAGGGCGCGTGCGCTCGCCAGACAGACAGAGAGAGACATAGAGACAGAAAGCGAGAAATCACCCCCCAGGGGGGATGGTCATGCCGCAATCCCTTCTCCTCCATTCTCCTCTTGGGATCTTGGGCACGCACGCACACGCGCCCGGCATGAGTTTTAAGCCACCGGGTCCAGGACACGAACCGCGGTCGACTACGTGGGAGTCCAGCGACATAGCCATTATGCTAACTGCTGGTTCCCTGACCTCTATTATTCTTACAGGCTTCCATTTTCACAAGAAGCAGCAAAGATTTGCTCCTTCCCAGGTGTCACCCATCATCTCTCAAGTGGCCATTTAAACCAGTCTTTATGGAAAGGGTACACTGTTTTCTGAGTCATTTCAAGACTCACAGACAACAGGTAAGAATACATCCAAATTTTACATTAAACTTTTACCCATTGTGTAGCTTAAAGACTGTTGTAAAAATGAAAAATTAAAAACACATACACAGGGACCACCAGATGGTGTAATGGTTGCATCACTGGACTACCACATAGTCGACCATGGTTTGAGTCCCAAACCTGGCAACTTAAGCTGATGTCGGGGGAGTATGCATGCATGCCCAAAATCCCAAGAGGTGACTGGAGAAGGGATTGCTGTGTAGCCATTCTCCCTAGGGGGTGATTTCTGTGTCTCTCCAGCAAGTGCACATGCCCTATAGCAAAAATCTCTCTCAAAAAAAAAAAAAATGCATACACCAAAGTATTACAGATAATTTAAAGGTGACAGTGAATTTAAAACGTTTATTAAGGGCAGGTCCACACAAGTCCTACTCATTTCATCAGGCCGCCTCTGGTTTCCTCCAACATCATACTGCCTGGAGATCTGTCAGTGTTGTATGAATCTGAAACAAGCTTCCATCCATAAGTAAACATCATTCTCCACTCATTTTTTAAAGTCTTCCAGGTATACTCGAAATACTGCTTGAATCAACATTTTAAGGCCATCACCTCCAAAAAGCATGGCTAACCAGTCTCACTGCCTCCACAAAGGCAATACCACGATCAAGCCTGCACTCTGCACTGCAAAATCCGAGTCTTACCCTGGAGTTAAGTCAGCGAAATTTCACTCAACTTAGGTCATCAAGTACCCACTGCCTGTAAACAATCTGAATATACTAAGGGCCAACATTTATTAAATGCTTCCTGGATGTCAGGCATCATAGCACTTCACATGCACCCTCGCACTTACGAGGTATGTACTGCTCTATGTATTTCACCGTAGAGGAAACTGAGGCTTGTTTATGAAACTTGCCCAGAGGTTACATGATTAGTAGTTGGCTGGGTTGGGAAGTTGACCCCAAGCAAGCTGACACTAGAGCTCTCATCTTAACCACTAGTTAGAGAACCCAGTCCTTGGTGCACTCTACCATTAGAGATGGTATTATTACGCAGTGACCACGTGCACACCTGTTAAGTGTTCAGGCCAGTAATCATCATACAGTTCAGCTAGTCTATTACATACCCCCCCCCCAAGAAAAAGTCTCCTATTCATCTCTACGGTTCTCTTTTCGTAGCCTTCTCAAGGACAAGTACGTGCGCCAAACTGGAAGACATCACTACAATTCATGAAATAGGAAATCCTTATCTATGGCAACAGGTTAAGTCCGAAAACGCAGACATTACCCGTCGACTGACCAACAAACTTTAAAACCTTCTTTTGAAAAGGAGACAGACGACTTAATCCGTCAGGGCCTTATCTAACAGTTTTCCTGGTGACATAGGTGTCCCCTCAGTTAGGCTAAGAAGAAAGCGCCAGCACGCTGCTAACTGGCGCAAGGAGAGGTCGTGGCCAGCAGCCGTGGGCGGCCTACTCGAGGGTCTCCGCGCGGCCTCTTCCACAGCCCCCAGCCCGCGCCGCAGAGCTGAGTCACCGTGGCGGTCCCGCTCCCGGGTCGCCCAGGCTAGGGGCCGGCCGGGTCGGGTCCCAGGGGTTCAGGCCACTGTAGGGGTCAAGACAGGGGAGCGAGGATCCGCCCTGCTCGCTGTTTCCGGAAGAAAAGAGCCGCAGCTCGGGGCCGTCTGCCCCACAGGCCCAAGGGAGGCAGCGAGGAGGACGCCAGGCCGGGTCCCCCAGGCCGAAACGAACTGGGAGCCACCGAGCGCGCCTGGCTGCCCGGTGACCTCGCCTCACACCCTACCTTCGCCCCCGCTTTCTCACTCCTGTGCTCTCTGCTCCACTTACTTGGCTTTGAGACGCAGCAGCTCCTCGAACTGCCCGGCTGAGCCGACCTCCACCACCGCTGCTGTTGCCGCCTCAGCCGCCCCCGCCGCCATGCTGCTGCCGCCAGACGAGAGCAATCGAGTCCGTACAGCCTGATGGGGGTGGGGCCGCCGCGCTCAGGCGGCTGCGCGGGAGAAAGCCCCGCCCCGGCCCCGCCTCGGCCCCGCCCCTCCGCCTCTTCCCGGGACTGCGAAGTCAGTAAACCCCAGAGGCAACGCTTTGGCTGCTGGTGCACTAGCGAGCTGTGGGGTTTTCTAGCGTGCAAACTGAGAGATCTGGGAAAAGAAGGCAAGGTCTCTGAGCCTCACCACTGACAAAGCATTTCTGTCTTCGTTCTGCAAGACCTGAAGCTTAAGCCAACCCAGTAACTTGCCGAATGTTCTCCCCCACGCCCGTTTTCCTTCAGCCCCCACACCCTGTAGTGCCAATTCGGCACGACCAGTGCGTGGACCTTTTACCCTTTGTGACCTTGGAGCAGAGCAGCCTGGGCAAGTCCACCACCTCCGGAAACCACTGGCACCTCCAGGACCCTCCAATCCTCATCTTCAGTACTCCAGTCTCTAAAGCCCTCTGGCTTCCCTCTGGCATCCCCTAATGTTGCCTCCCCAGATGAGGTCTTCTGCAGCCCTTCCCATTCTTCCCACACACGTTCTAGCTTGAGCAAGCTCTTCAGTACCCTCAGTGCCTTCAATTTCCCAGGAAACTGAAACAGTGAGCCAGAACCCTCCCGGGTCGGGTCTTGAGAGCAGCCCACAGATCCCAGCATTCGCCTGCTTTGGGGAGGGGGCCATTTCCTGTTTAGAAGTCCTCAAGCCATACTGCTGTTTTTCTTCTGAAGCTCCTCTCTTACAGTTCCCATCTCACTGAACACGATGGCTCCCACCCCGACAACACTCGAGACTCCTCCTGGACAGTCTTCTGGCAATAGCTGGGCTTTGAGGGAGACTCCTTTGAAGCCTTCCCTACTTAACTTGGTGTTCCTAGGGCACCCTGTGCTTATTTCTACCATAGGCATACCACCTGTACTAGAACTGTCAAGGAGAACCAGCACTGTGTCTGTCCCAGCGCCCCGATTAGAGCCAGGAGCATGGTCGGTGGTTAGTTCGTGCCTCTCAGCCAGCAACTGGTAAAGAACTGGACTCTGGATTTCAAGAACTTTACACAAAAAAGAAAAAAATGTAATATTATAATAATTTTTATACTGATTACATGTTGATATGATAACATTTTTGATATGTTAGGTTATGTGAATATATTATTAAAATTACTTATTTTTACCTTTGGTCATTAAGCAATTTAATTCACATAGCTAACTCACTTGTGACTCAGTTTATATTTTTTATTGGTAGCACTGTTCTAGTGATTAAAAGTGGCCTTTAAGAGCCCTGTTACATGTATGCCTCATCTTGAAAAATAGATGTTACTTAAAATGGTGAATTGTGTTATTTAATATGCAACAGAAAAGCGACAAGGAATTTTTTTATATCTTTTTTAGAGAGATTTTTGCTATAGGGCAAGTGGGCTTGCCAGAGAGACAGAGAAATAGAAAGCAAAAAATCAGGATGACCAAACCTCAATCCCTTCTTCTTCAGTCTCCTCTGAGAATTTTGGGCATTCACACACACACACATGCCCAGCCTGGGTTTCAAGCTGCCATTTCTGAGACCTGAACCATGGTCGGCCATGTGGGAGTCCAGCGATGTAACCACTACACCATCTGCTGGTCTCCTGTTTTGTGTCTTGAGGAATGGTAGGTACATCAGCCTAATCATGTGTTAAAATTGCATAGAGCCAGGAGCCAGCAGATGGCCTGATGGTTATGTCCCTGGACTCCCACATATCCAACCATGGTCAAGTCGCGAACCCAGTGGCTTGAAAATCACACCAGGCATGTGTGCATGCACACCCAAGATACCAGGAGAATGAAGCAAAAGGGATTGAGGAGTGAGGGGTGATTTCTCACTTTCCCTCTCACTATCTATCTCTCTCTAAAATGAGCACATGCTCCCTATAGCAAAAACCTTTAAAAAAAAAAAAAAAGAATAGAACCAAATACACACACTCGCATACAAATATAGATACACATAAAACTGGAGAAATCTAAGATCAACTAGATTACATATGAATAACATCCTGATTATAATGTATTACAGTTTTGCAAGATGTTGCCATTGGGGAAAGTATACACAAAATCTATTATTTCTTATAACTACATGTGAATCTCTAATTTTTTTCAAATAAAAAATTTTGTTTAATAAAAAGCAAAACCTTACAGTTTACTACAGAAAAAAAAAATTCAGTAGAGGGGAATCATGTCTTAAAATGAGATATGTGCTCCAATTACCATTTTTAAACATAGAATTATATGTAAACAAAATTATTGTGAAAAGAGAAAAATAAAAAGTACTTTGTTCAAAATGAGGCCAGAGGTCATTAGGGAAACTGAACTCAAGCACACTGAAGGTGGATGACCTTGGAATGTGCACTTTGGACACATTCTCCCTTTGGTGCTGGACCTTGGAACAAGGCCCCTAAAATAATTCAAGATGCTACCAAAACTCACTGGACTTTTTTGTTTAGTTATGAACATCCTTATTGAACAAATACATTCTTCCCTTACCTTTAAACAGCAGAGAACAACAATGTGCCTGACTCATTGACTCCTGCGCTGACCCCAAACGACCATGAGATTATCCCTCTCCTCTTACCATGGAATTTTGCTAATTGTTGTTATACAAGAGTCATTGCTTAGCGTTTCATGTACTCCCCCCTCCTATTTGTGACTTTATTTATTTTTCATATTTCAGATGGCGCATGCCATTGAGAGAGAGCAAGGAAAAGTGAGAAATTACTCCCCAAGGAAGATGGCCACACACCATCATAGTCTCTTCTCCATTCTCCTCTTGGGATTTTGGTCACACACGCACACGCGCCCAGCATATTCCTCAAGACACTGGGTCTGGAACTTGAGCCAGGGAGTCAGCACCTTAAACACCATGCCACCTACATTCATGACTTTTGCTTTTCTGGTCATTCTGAAATCTGTCAGACCTCATTTACAAATGTGGAGTAAAAGATATGGTATCCCCAGGCAATCATCCTTAACCCTACCCCACATAAACTTTTACTTTACTTCACCTCACTATTTCTCTTAGGCTGACATTATATAGCACAATGTAGCACAGAAAACATCTCCAGAAGGACACTTCTCAAAGTGTTAGAAGAACTGGCCCTCAGAGAGTAAAAACAGGAATGTTAAAGGGAGGACCTTCATTTTTAGGTTCTATACTTCTTTGTGTCATTTGCATGTTTTCAGAACATGGATTGCCTTTATCATTTAAAAAATAATAAAATTGTAACGTATGAGGGAAATGTGCCATAGTGAATAAAAAAAAAAGAGGTAATCATCACCTCTAGTGTGACTACTTTTTTTCTTTTTTCCCATTTTAAAAAGTGTATTTACTGGGGCCGGCAAGCAACATGGTGGCTAAGGGTGCTGGATTCCCACAAGGCCAACCATGGTTCAAGTCCCCGACCTGGTGGCTTGCTTTCTCACTTTCCCTCTCTTTCTCACTCTGTCCCTCTCTGGTCAAATTAAAATAAATAAACAAATATGTTAAATAAAAAATAATTCTTAAAAAATACATTTACTAATGTAACTTTTTTGCAAGTCCTGCTTTTTCCTTTAAATGGAATCCACAGAAAATAGTGTACACCGCTGCACAGCAGACAACCTACTTAAAGAAAAATGCTACAAAAATCCCTGGATAACATTTCCAGTTCTGACCTCTGCCCTTTTTGTAATTATCACTATTGACAGCAATAGACCTAGGAATGAGAGATAACCTCTCAACTGTAAAATGCTCCGACTTCAGCAGCAAAGACTACTCTGCTCAGGACTGAGCCGAGCCACGTTGTGGAGCGTTACAGGTACACTGGTCTTGAGTGCTTTTTGGTTTTACAAAGACCTCGAGGGCCCATGCACTCCCTTAAACTGATTATTTGAAAACCATCACTACCCTCCCCTACTTTACAGCTAAGAAAAGGGTCCACACCCGCAGTGGGCAATAGGCAACACCAGGACTTAGCCCTTTACTACATCCTTCAAGCTCTTCTCAGCCTCACCAACTCTGGAGAGTCCAGTCCTCTTTGTCCCCCACTTGAACACACCCAGAGGGAAAAACGTAAAGACCGTATTAAATTGGTTTAGCCTGTTGCAGAATGCTTTGGACTTAGCTATTCCTTACCTCTACCCTTGTTAGTAGTGCTGAAAAAGCTCAAAATCACAGAAAAGCTAGATATCAGGGCTAATTTTGATGTCCCTGGGTCCATCCTAGGCACTGACTTTAAGGCCAACCATGGTTCAAGTCCCCGACCTGGTGGCTTGCTTTCTCACTTTCCCTCTCTTTCTCACTCTGTCCCTCTCTGGTCAAATTAAAATAAATAAACAAATATGTTAAATAAAAAATAATTCTTAAAAAATACATTTACTAATGTAACTTTTTTGCAAGTCCTGCTTTTTCCTTTAAATGGAATCCACAGAAAATAGTGTACACCGCTGCACAGCAGACAACCTACTTAAAGAAAAATGCTACAAAAATCCCTGGATAACATTTCCAGTTCTGACCTCTGCCCTTTTTGTAATTATCACTATTGACAGCAATAGACCTAGGAATGAGAGATAACCTCTCAACTGTAAAATGCTCCGACTTCAGCAGCAAAGACTACTCTGCTCAGGACTGAGCCGAGCCACGTTGTGGAGCGTTACAGGTACACTGGTCTTGAGTGCTTTTTGGTTTTACAAAGACCTCGAGGGCCCATGCACTCCCTTAAACTGATTATTTGAAAACCATCACTACCCTCCCCTACTTTACAGCTAAGAAAAGGGTCCACACCCGCAGTGGGCAATAGGCAACACCAGGACTTAGCCCTTTACTACATCCTTCAAGCTCTTCTCAGCCTCACCAACTCTGGAGAGTCCAGTCCTCTTTGTCCCCCACTTGAACACACCCAGAGGGAAAAACGTAAAGACCGTATTAAATTGGTTTAGCCTGTTGCAGAATGCTTTGGACTTAGCTATTCCTTACCTCTACCCTTGTT